CACTTCCTCATTTTACAGGTTGGGAAACTGAGGCTCAAAGAGGTGATGACTTCCCCAAGGATACCCAATAATGGAATTGGAAGACTTATTAGTAAAATTTAGGAAACACTACCTTAAAAAAAAATAACCACTGGGATTGAGAAGCTCAATTTTCTTAGAAATATTTTGACCTTGACCCTGCCTCAGAGTCACTTGTTTTTCTCTTGTTTCCTTTCAGACTAAGGTTAGATCTGTCTTACGCCCCAGTCAGTTTGGGGGACAGTCATGTACTGAGCCCCTGGTGACCTTTCAACCATGCATTCCATCTAAGCTCTGCAAAATTGAAGAGACTGATTGCAAGAATAAATTCCGCTGTGACAGTGGTAATGTACTTTTGTAAAACGTTGTCTCCACTAAAAATAACTTGACTAAATCAAAGTTATTCCAACTGACTACCAGTAAAATCTATGATAGAAAAGTCCCACCATATTTTAAACATGGGGAAATGCACAGTGGTGTGCTGCCAAGTATCAAGATACTCAGAAGTGAAATTACAGTCTTTAAGTTATATTATCTTGGCCACTTACCTGATTCATTTTCTCATGAAGTAGTGACATCCAGGTCTCTACACTGTTATAAAGCAGGAAGAAGTGAGAGGAGGAGGAAGAGGAAAAAAGAGTAGACAGTTTTTGGTTTTGTTTTTGTTGTTTTTTAAGAGACAAGGGGTCTCTCTATGTTGCCCAGGCTGGAATTCTTGAACTCCTGGGCTGAAGCAGTCCTCCTGGCTTAGCCTCCCAAGTAACTGGGACTACAGGCATATGCCACCATGCCCAGCTGAATAGGCAGATATTTTTTTAAATTGGCTATTACTATGCACAAATGTATAATCAAAAAGAAGTAAGATTAAAAAAGATTTTCAACATAATTTATTAAGACAAGAATATGAAGATATTACATGAGGGGGATGATTAGAGATGATGTGGCAAATTTTTTGACTGGCTCCAAAGTTAATTCCAAAAGACTAGCTCAGAAATGATTTAAATAATAGCAACATTACCTTCAAGTCCAATACTTGATGCACAAAATCTGGTTTTTGGATTTCATTATTTATAAATCAAATCTCGAGTATATTACTTAATCATTTGTATTCTCTTGTTAACTAATAGCTCTTCAATGCTCACCATTTTGAATAGTCTGCATCAGATTTCTGCAACGTTTTCAGTAAACATCCAGATGGCAAATATTTTAGCTTTTGCAGGCCATGCAGTCTATCTTGCAACCACTTAACTCTGTTGTTGTAGCACCAAAGCTACCCTTGGCTGTATATAAACAAATGAGCACAACTGAGTTTTAATAAAATATTTATAAAAACAGGTGCCAGGTTAGTTTTAGCCCTTGGGCCATAGTTCACTGACCTCTCTAAATAGTCAACTTGAAATTACAAATAAAATTAAATTTCACATAAATAAAATCCATATCATTTTTGTTTACTTGGGAATATACTGAAAAGTAAAATATTTATAACTAGATAGCAGATTTCACATTCCATAGAAAATTGACCTAAGACCTTGGAATTAACATTCTTCCCTCTCACTCCTTGCTTCCAGCTTTCAGCCCTGCCAGCTTTTTCTGAATGTCAGACAGGAATGCTGGTGCCAGAGGTTTCCCTCCATGCCCCGCTATACCCCAAACCTGAGATATGAGTGTGGGATGTGGGTAGGGAGATATATATTGTGCCTATTTATTTATGTCATGTCACAAATTGTCAAAAGAAGAAATGTGAACAAAATCTTGATGGCAATGGTTGAGGGCAATACAGACTTGAGCATTACATCCAGAATATTAAAATCAAGATTTATAACTGAAGTACAACCATTTGAAGCTTGAAAGATGGTTTTTATAACAAATAACAAGGAGAGACTCCTTTATTCAGTGGAGGACGAATCTATGAAAAATTACAAAAGAGCTGTGTTTAGGCCCAAAATACAAGCTTGAGAAGACTTGAGATGCTTCCATGGGTCACCAATTTATAATGAATGGTTTTAGAAACATTAGCAGTGTAAGCACAGCTGATCTACAGTTCATTGGCAATTATGTCCATAGCCATCAATTTTTAAAAATACTGAACTATTAAAATGTGTCAGTATTAATTGGTAAACAGCTGCTGCCCTGAGCACCCTGAGTAACCTTTGCCTTGCTTCCCAGAATCCAGAATCCCTAAATCTTTCCATAATACAGCCACTGACTGGTAAATCCCTGGCACAGATGTAGTGGCCATCCCTTCTGATTGGGTGCTGCCATGGACTTTTTGTTGTTAAATATTCCATGGAAGATGATATACTACTGTGCTCTCCTAAAAACATCCACTAATGCCACTCTCAATGAGAATAAGAGGTTGTATGGATGATTGTCTGACTCAAGATGATGTTTAGCCCTCAATTAACAGCACTATCTATTCTAAACGGATTCACCTTCTTCCCTTTCCTCCCTATGACTATTGTCCAGAGTCTCCCAAGATTTCCCAAGACTAAATGTATTATTTTAAGTTATACTTGGATTTTTGAGAATTACCCATGAGTCTAACTCCCATGCATTGTGCCAACTCCTCTTTCAAAGTCCTAATTTTAAGCATAAGAGACTAGAACATTTTCAGCTGGTTGTAAAAATATGTCATTGCAGTAACACAGATCACTTCGAGTAGATAGGAAAAATATGTGCAGTTTCTAGATGAATGCAAAGTTCTAATTATAAGTGTATATATTAATGTATATGTGCTGGCTAAAGCATGCTTACTTCTGCAAATCCTGTAATATTCAAACTGCCCTTCATTTTGCCATTCTTTCTTTGGTATAGGATATATTTAGGCTTACAATATCTCTCCCCTTGTGCTTCCTATTCCATTGAGTTTTTTTTTTTTCTTTCAAATTTTTTTTTTTTTTCTGAGACAGAGTCTCACTTTGTTGCCCTGGTTAGAGTGAGTGCCGTGGCGTCAGCCTAGCTCACAGCAACCTCAAACTCCTGGGCTCAAGCAATCCTACTGCCTCAGCCTCCCGAGTAGCTGGGACTACAGGCATGCACCACCATGCCCGGCTAATTTTTTCTATATATTTTTAGCTATCCAATTAATTTCTTTCTATTTTTGGTAGAGACGGGGTCTCGAACTCCTGAGCTCAAACAATCCGCCCGCCTCGGCCTCCCAGAGTGCTAGGATTACAGGCGTGAGCCACCGCGCCCAGCCTCTATTGAGTTTTTATGACCTGGAATCATTCTCAGCCATGTCCTATCAAGCCTACGTCACTGTTGTATATACTCCTAAACATCACTCAAGATGTATCCTCTTCCCTTCATCCTTGCTCTTACTAGGAGGCCCTCTGATATCTCTACAAGTACCAAATGTATAAAATTTCTTGTATTCTCACCTATCCAGTACCTTGCTCACAAAGCTAGGCTAATGAGAACTGTACTCTGCGTATGTATCCTTATCTCTTGCTAATAAAATGTGATTTTTAATGTAACAATATAAAAATTCACTTTTGCTTAAATTCATCAGTGCTAGTCTCAAAACTTTTAAAAATTGTAGTATGTATAAGTTCATTTTTTTGAATTAAAAACTTCTCTCTATTTCAAACTAAAATGCCCATCTGTTCTGCCCTAAAAAAAAAAAGAAAGAAAAAAAGAAACAAACAAAACCTAGAGATACACTGTTTAAAAATAGAGCATCTTTCAGCTTATATTTCAGAATTGACAGAAATTCAATTCCACCTATATTTTCAGTCTTGCATGATTACAGCCTTCATACTTATTATTCTTTATAACAGCAGTCCAGACACAATATAAGTTCTTGAATTATCAAAGGAAAGAAATTATTTTCATTACTCTCCACCTTCTAAGTGAAGATTATTAACCAAAAGAGTTGAAACTAAGTGCTTTATGGGGAACCCTTTATTAATAAAAAATTTTAATTCAACCAAATACTCAATTTCACCAAGCATTTCAGTTAAAACAATCATGTATAAATCCCTGAATACAGGCCAGAAGGTGAGGAGCAGGAGAGGAGACATCTCTCATTGCACATAAGACATTTCAGTGTCTGTGGTACATAGTCACACACTGATTCCAAGGATCCTTATGCAATTCAGTAAGTTAAAAAGGGAAGAGAATTATTTTAGTATATGAGGCTAGTACCATTTTTTAAATTTCACTCACTCAATTTACTACCTAATACTGTAGTACCTAAGCACTTAAGTTGTCCAAAAAGTAATTAGATATAGTAAATTGTATGCAGTAAATCAATTAGCTGCAGTAATTATACATAGTAAAGTATATAGTAAATAATTTAAGAAAATATATAGTAATTATGTATAGTAAAATAATTATCTATAACAAAATACACAGATCCTAAGTATGCAATTTGTTTTTCACAAATTATACAACTACGTAAACAACCCCCAATCAAGATATAGAAAATTCTCATAAACCCACAAAGTTCCTTCCTTCTTCTTTCTAGTTAATTCCCCCTCCTTATTCTTTAACATCATATAAAGGAATCACATGGTATCACTCTTCTGTGTTTGGCCTCTTTCACTCAACATAAAATTTTAGAGATTCAGACATGCTACCATGTGCATCTCTAGATGTGTGCGTGTGTGTGTGTGTGTAAAATTATACAGTTTTTTTGTAAATAAAGATCAATGACTTTGAGTATTCCATCCTAGATCAAAACAAAATTCTGAACCTACTGTTAATTTTCTTCTACAGAACATGATCTCTATAGCCAGATCACTGTAATGGGAATGCGGTTCTAGAATTATTTTCCTTGTTAAAGACAATCAGCCCAATGACAACTAAATAATTCTATGGTGACTCTTGTAATCTTAAAACACAAGTGAAAAATAGCAGTTTATCATTCCATTTCCATATGTTCTTAAACCTTCATCCAAAATAATGAAAACTTGCCTTAAACTTTCCCTTGAAATTTAAACCATTTGTGTTTTAAATTAATAGGTATTTTATAAAATGGTAATTTGTTACAATGTTGTTGTTTGCTTTTCTTAACTAGGCCGTTGCATTGCCAGAAAGTTGGAATGCAATGGAGAAAATGACTGTGGAGACAATTCAGATGAAAGGGGTTGTGGAAGTCCAAAGCCACCATGCGCACGGCAGTATAATCCCATCCCTAGTGTACAGCTAATAGGCGCTGGGTATGTAACATCTTTTTATCATTTTTGGGAGAACAGGTATCTCATAACTAATGAGTTAGGAGCAGCAATCAAGCAACCAGACATATCATTGTTCATCTTCCTCATTAACTTCTTAGTACTCCCACCTTTCCTGTCTCTGATACTTGGCTACCATGTTCAGGCAGCATGTGGCCACTATCCTCACTCCTAAGGAACGAAAGCTGGAATTTTCAAATTTAGTTTATGTTAGACAATGTTATGGGCCCTTCATAAACATTGCTAGTTTTATTTCTCAGACGTCCCTCAGAAAGCTCTGGAATGGATCAGGGCAGACTGGTGGGAAGCCAGCCAAGCTGGAAGGTGCCAGGGTGGATTCCCGTAGCTGAGTCTTGAATGCGTGAGGAACCACTCAGAAATGTCGAGAGGAAATTGAGAAAAAAGATACTAGAAAAATATTCTTATGTGTGTCTTGAAAGTTAGAACTCTAGAGAAACAAAACCAATCTTCCAGCAGAAAAGACAAGCCCAGAGTCAACAACGGGAGACAAAGCCATAAGGAAAGCAGTTAGGTGAACACAGAAATAAAAGGGGGTAATAAACAATGGTGTGGAAAAAGTAAAAGAGTAAGAGGTGAAGTGAATATAGCTAGGGCATCTTCTCCCATGGTCCATGTGGTGTATGGGTAGGTCAGTAGAGTTTAAAAGCAGAAGGTCAGATCTACATTACCATCTGGTCTCAACTTATGAACTGGGGAACTGAGCCTCAGAAAGTTTAAATAACCTGTCCAAGTCTACCAAGTAGTAAATGGTGGAACAAGGATTCAAACCCAGACTTCAAGACTCAGGTTATTTCTACCATTTCATCCTGTTTCAGGACAACACCCATCTTAGAGATGGGAACATCCTGGAAGAAACCTTAGGAGACCATGCAATCCTATCTTTGAAGAGTCCTCACAAATTCTAATGCTCCAATTTCAGGAATATCTGGTCAGGAGGGCACTGGGAGTTGAGCAATGGGTTCTAAGTTCATCAGACTGAATCAATGGCTTGAAACACTTTGGAAATATAAGAGAGGGCAATGAAGACAGAAGAACTAAGCCTTAGTTTGAAGCATAAGAAAAAACGCTAAAGATAATCTCCTGTGCCCTAGCATTCCCATGATAAAGAAATCTCACTTCAATTTTTGGCCAGAGGCAGGTAGTTTGCTATCAGCTTCTGTTGCTTCATATTGGACTTTTTTAAAAATTTAAGTATTCACTTATGCTGCAAGAGTTGCATAATATGAAACCTTGAGGCATAAAAGACAAACAATGACAAATACAACCTCATTTGATTTTGAATAAAACCCAGAAGTCATTGAACCAAACTCAAGGACACCAGTGAAACAGAAGAGTTATTTAGTCTAAAAGTGAGAGAAGCTGGGTTCCAGACCTAGTTCAGCATTCACTTGCTACATCACAGCCAAGTTCACTTTCCGGGCCTCAGTTTCCTTATCTGTATGTTGGATGACTACAAACTGATTTGAGGTTCTGTCCTAATAGTTGCTAATTAGAGCTGATTTCATTGAGAGTGCTTCAACATTATGTTCTTATCAATGTGCAGAAATGGTTTCCTTCTCTTCCTTTCTTGGAAGAAAGCATTGGCCAAACACTCCCACCGCTAATCACATTTTCTAATGCTCTGATTGATGAAGGATGTCATTACAAACTCACCTCTTGTTCAGTTGGTCTAGACTCTAGAGTTACAGATGGGGAGCACCACGTGCTATGTGTACTTTGGCAGAAGGACTGTGTGGCCCTCTGCCAACCAGAGCTGTTGTCCCAAGGATTCTCAGAAATGAGCAAAGCCTGCTGGCTGGGGACAGGCAGTCCTCTCTTTGCCTCCACAGGGACTGAGATTTTTGAGAGTTGCTTATTTTAATCTCTTTCTAATCTGCTAGCTTTATAGTCTATGCCTCTTCCCCATACCCTGCTCTGCATCTTATTTTACCCACAAAAACCGTATCCTGCTCTGTAACTTATTTCTACCCACAAAAAATAGTTTATTGAGTGTCTGTTCCTCTTTTCAAATGTTATCTCTCCAAGAAAGATTTTAACAAGGCATATCAAAATTTCTACATTGCCCACATCAGTCAATAGGTCCTAAATCTGAAGTGAGAATCAGGAGATAAGAGCACACTGTTTTTCTCAGGCTTAGCCAAGGTACATACACACACACACACACACACACACACACA